AAAACCACAACAAAAAAAAAAAAAAAAAAAAAGAATGAAGCAATAAAAAAAAAACAAAAAAAAAAAAAAAAAAAGGCGAAAGAAAGGTTTACCAGCAGCTCCAAGTGCGTCAGCAAGGCCATAAATTAATTTGTCGAAATTTTCACGATTTTTTAATGCTCTACCTCCAGACACAACTCTTGTTGCATTTCCAAGCTCAGGGCGATCACCTTTTTGAAGATCTTCACTAATCCATTCAGTCATTGAAGGTTTTTCAGCATCTGGTGCCACTTCAATAGCAGCATTATTGCCAGCTACGTTAGAAGGAGGAAATGCAGTTCCTCGGACAGTAATAACTTTTGTAGGATCTTTTGACTTTACTTTAGAGATAGCATTTCCTATTAAAAATTGGAATGTTTCGTCTTTACCATTAATCAAACATGATTGATCATATTTATTTGTTAATCAAACATCTCATACCAGCATAAATCGGTCTTATAAAAACGTCTGAGGATTCAATATCAATTATATCAGAAATTTGTGCAACATCTAGTAAAGCAGCGACTCGGGGCATAATATTTTTGCCAAATGCTGAATGAGGAGCTACCAAATGAGTAAAATTAAACTTCTTCTGAGATGTAACCAGCAGCGGAGCGTATACTTCCGCAAGACCATGTTCGTAAAGTTTGTGTTTAGCTACGAGTACCTTGGATATACCGGTGATCTTTGAAATTTCAGAAGCGACATTGTCTGGCTCTTCACCTGCCACAAGGGCTGTTACTTCACCTCCTAACTTAGTAGCAGCAGTGAGAGAATTGAAGGTAGAGGAGGCGATAGAATTACCATTGCGTTCGACCAAAAGAAGTGTAGATATGTCTTGAGCGCTTGCATAACCGCGAACGAAAAAACCAGGACGAAGCTAAGAAAACACGTTAGATACTATAGATACTAACTTTTAAGACTTTGCATTGTTAATGTTTATGTGAAAAATTAGTTTGGTACCGTCGTTAGTGAATTTTTTAAAGGCGGTTTGTGAAACTACTCTTTGGAAAGCAGATCGCAACATAATTTAATGTGCTCTAGCGCTAGCGTTAATTAAAATCTATTTGCCGTCTCAAACTTTAATAATATTTTGTCACATGAAACACATCATTTGAGTAACTACTCCAAGAGCATCGTAAAAAATTTTTCGATAATAAAATTCTTAAAAGTTTGTTAATACTAAAGTTAGCGTTTATATTAGCGCCATTTGTACTAAAATATATAGTAAAATCGCCCAAGGAAAACTTTTTGTTAGTGCACAAAAGATTGTTTCCTATGCAGTTTTTTGAGTTATGGCGACTTTTAGCAAAAAGAACGATTGTTTTTAATTTTCCTGATCGTGTTACGTTCGTGTTACGTTACACCTGATCTTCAACTATGATTGGCTTGTAGTCACGTTTTGAAAAATTTTTGATGGTGCTCTTGGAGTAGTTTCATATGAGTGCTGCCAAGCGAAAACCAGAAATTTCGATTTTTGCCGGCTCCACTTTCTGATCCGATTCCTGATAAGCACAACATAAATTATATGGTGTGTTAAATCACATTTTTCGGAGTTTGATCTGTAAAATTAATTTCGGAAAACTCACAATTCCCTGTTTTCGCTTGTCG